AAAACTATATCGGCGGAGAAGTGTGAATATAAATTACTCCGATATTTTAATGCATTTCCTTCCATTAAAAGGGGTTTAGACACAGCCTGTACGCATTTGTAACCGGCTTCTGCTGTATCCAGAAGAGACACGAAGCATAAGTTGTAAATGCTATTTGAGAATACTTACAAAGAAAGGCAGGGAAGAGGATCAACATCCTCAATAAATATAAAAAATTTCCCCAAAGCCTAATTAGGTCATCGAGACTTATTTGGCTTTTCTGCAAAGAGAAATAGCCGAGATCCAGGCTCTTCGTAATAGACTGATCCGGCCGACTTTACCGACACCAGCGTAGATGGGCAGCAAGTAGTATGGACTTGATTGAACAAGAACTCTATCGCAAACTACGGCCGGACCGAACAGGCTTCCAGACACATACCAGCTTAGGACCTGTCCATCAGGGCTTAGAACCATCAAATGGGTCGAAGTGAACTGAGTAGAAAGTGGAGTTTGGAGAATACATTTTTTAGCAAAAGATAAGGTAGTGAAAAAATCTTTCCATTATAATAATGTAACTATTATGCCCATAAAGCGGTTAAATCTGGCATCAAATCTAACCAAGACGCACAAAGTCGTCCGGAGGTAATCCCATGCTTTGATGGACGGGTGTCTAAGCTCATCAGCAGGTGCACTAAAAGAGAGTAGAACATGCCTTACCAAAGTGCGATATTCATAGACTAAGACCATACGTCGCTTAGAGGAGGGAGATATATGCATGCTCAGGCCCACAGGGAATCGTCTTTGCGTGGAGAAAAGGCCTGAACTGCAATAGAGGCGTCACAAAGTGATGCCTGAATGAAAGTCATGGAAAAGGCCAGGTAGACTCAAAACTGGGCGTGATCACTGCAAGCATAACTAATTGCTAAATTATTTATGCCGGCCTCAGCCTAGTCAGGCCAATATGGCTTAATGCCCAAAAATGGATAGAGGGCTTATCAAAAAATGAAATTAAGAGTCAAACAATTGCAGTCTAGGGTGGCCTCAATATTCAAAGTAAAGTGAATCATATGAAGTACATTTAAAAAGCTATC